ATGTATATCAAACCCAAATATGCAAAAATTATGTTTGTACTTACATAGTGCAAAAGCGGGATCGAAGGGGTCCAACGAATATTATAAAAACTAATTATTTTAACTACTCGTCCAAGTTGGAAGTAATTTGAACTTGCAAAAGCTATTTAAAATTTGCTTTCGTATGCGAACAGATGTGTATTGGTCCGTGTGCAAACAGGACCAATACCAAACATTGATCACCTAACAGGATGTACTAATCTTACATAAGAAGCGTATAGTATCCAACACCTGAAGGTTAAACTACCTTTGACAGCGGAACATTTTTCCGCAGATGTATCATTTTTCTTACCCATTTTGAAACGAGCAAGAGTACCCACAAAACTACGATTACAAAAAGATGGCTACTGCATTGCCAAACGTGCAGTTTATATAATAAACTGATTTTATTCTGTACGTTATGATATAAAAAAGACAATCATTTAATTACATCGCAGTAAAAATCTTAAGATTACATGCAAACTTTTTCAAATTTGCGCTTCTTCCATATTATATATGTATGTTTTATGTAGTATATATATTAGTATATTTCTCTTTGTGTTCAACAATGTCAATAGTTTATCCACATATTCACGTGTGTTAATTTTAAAATTAAATATGTATTTATGTATTTACATATATTTCTTTGATTCGTATCGCTGAGTAATTCATGCATTTTAAAAGGACAATAACATTTCCGTCCGCTGGCCCAAAGTAGGTAAGCAGTGAATGAAATATTTCTTCTTTACACCTTTGTGTAAAAATCAACAAAAGTATCAACTAAAAATCTTACAGGTATTTATGTGTGAATTTTAAATCGGTGTCATTGTGTTATGCCTGCAACTCCATCAGACACAAACTACTTATCCATGCACTGATACATTATTGTTGGCATTCAACTGCTTTGCCTGTGCTGACGGCTGTTCCGTATTGGCATTATTGACCGTCACATTGACATTGGAGTTACTATTAACATTTGATCCTATTTCCGGCAAATCCGTTCGTGGTCGCCGAAAGAGTATAACATGAGGTTCTGGCGCATGTATCATATAGTGCACCCAACCAGGACTCTGTTGTACACCCAAATTGCGCCACTCAGTTTCACTCATCAAATGTGATTTTGGTACAAGCTTTGTCAGATCTGGAGGTAGTATGACGTGTCTATAAAACAAGTAATTGTTATTTCGGACTACATACAATAAGGAACAATGCAATTAATTATAAACTGGCCTTGCAACGCAACAGGCTGTCCTATTGTGCCTACCTGTATTCATAAATGGCATCGAAGTATTTTTCAGAGTATTGTATTTGATCTGCCGGCATTTTGATTGTAATACTGTACTGTTTGCTACTCAGCTGTAACGAAATGTGGCGATTTTGCAAGGATTATTCTTCTTTTTGCAACAAGCGTCGTTTGTTTTCACGTCGAATGTTTAGAAATTGCAAAATGTCAATGCTTCTTCTAGCACGAAAACCATTCACTGCAATTGATGACAGCTATGATGCCGCAGCAAACCAGCCCAGTTGCTTGCGTTTTTTACACGCATGGAAATAGCGCATGAACCAAAAATACAAGATCACGCGGGCAGGAGAGTAGCGCGTTAAGCTCGGAACACTTTGACGACAGCAGCGACAAGCAGCATCTGTTAAATTTTAAATACACACGTTCTTATAGCTGAAATACAATGCCGGCGAACGGCGAACTCACCACAGCGAAATTCGCGCTGTCAAAATTAGAACACCCGCAAGCATATGAAATTGAACACAGCCAAAGCGAAATGCGAAGTTCGCTTGGCGGCGTTTCATGGCGATAGATTTATTTCTATCGCTCTGCTGGGCGATGACAGCTGTGCGTGCCAAAGGTGGCCGTATTTGTTTTGTGCTTTCAAAGTTTAAAAAGAAAACAACCTAAACACGATTTTTTTTTTGTTGTTTGAAAAATATAGTTGTGGATTCGTTAAATCTGGCTTGAAACAAATTATTTATAATAATCTTTCTTTGTTTTACATTTATATTTGTTACCATTTCCTCATTTCTAAATATGGTTTAGTTTTTTCTAAATATGGTCACCCAAATTATAAAGGCGACCAAATGGGATCAGCTGTTTTCGCTACCGCTCTAATTCTGTTTAAGTAGGCGAAATAGTTGGGCGAACGGTGAACGACAGCATCGCCCAATTCGGCGAAGTTTGCCGTTCGCCGGTATTGTATTTCAAGCATTACGGACACAATTATTTTGACGACAGCACGACATCTTGGCTGCAGGACTGCAATTGTCGACGTCGCCAAATTAAATTTATTTCTAATTTTGCCGGCGACAATGAGTAGATGTAGTGCTGCAAAATTAAATTGTCGCAAAATTAATCACATATACTTGATTGTTCATGTTTTTCTTATTTACTTAAATAAAAATACACAATTTGTGAAATAAATATACCAAAATGTCAAACTTTAAAATCAGCTGTTTGCTATGTCCCTGAGGTCTTCAAAATGTTTAAGAAGCTGGCTTCAAGGCGACATTTGTCGACAAAATGATGTCGCTGTCGTTACGTCGTGAAGTTGCAGTCGTCAAAGTGTTCCGAGCTTTAGAATCGCATTTAGGAAAAAAGTTTAACGATTTTGACAATAGCCGTTTGTTTACATTTGTTCGTTGTTTACAATTTGGTGGTGGCTTTTTACAGCAATTTTCTTCATTTTCGCCTGTGACAACATGTGTACACATAAGGTAAAGAATAATTTAACACAACGGCATGATTTATAGAAGAATTTGCATAATGAAAATGATTATTCATGCGTTCAACAATTTCGCGGTTTTCTCCGTTCTCTTCGTTATTTACTTCTTACAACAAAGATGGCGTCGAGATTTCGGCAGCTAGAAAATAACTTTTTTCTTTCTTTCCTTCCCGCGTGATGTTGTGTCTTTCGTTCATGGAAATAGCAGTCGCTAGACGCAGCCATGGTGAAAGCAAGGAACCAAAGAATGTCACTTTGAAAATAAATGTATTCGCGCATTCTTCCAGCAGAATACTCTCAATAGAAAAATTCTGATGAATTTTTATATGTTCCCTCTGAAGGAGAGAAATGTTTGGAAAAGAACGCCAAAGCAAAACTTGCAAATTTCATGAACAGCTCATCGAATTCTTTTTTTTACATAAAAAATCACAAATAATAAACCATGACAAGAATATGAATTAAATGTTTGCCTAAAGCAATTTGCCAAGCAAACGGAAAAAAATTGTTTTTGCATTCTTTCCAAAAATTTTCCTGCAGAAATTAGCGGCTTCTCATCAAAATGAAATGTCAGTTTGGTCTTTGAATTTCCCCAACTTTTCTGAATTTTTCAGTACGCGAACAACAAAACCTGACAGTTTTTGAAAGTTATCAAAAACTATAAATACGCGAATACACCTAATAAGCCGAGCATCCTAGACCGTAGTGAAAAGAAAGCGCCAGAATTCACCTCACTTTTTGAAGCTGTCCGCAAAAATTGGTGGCAGTATTCAAAAATACAGAAAATGCAACCGAAACTAATTTAAACTGCAAGTCGTGGTAATTTTTACAAAAAAATAAAAATAAGTTTTGAGGTGCTGAAAGTAAATTAATAAAGGAAATGGTAAACATGTGTTTTAAAAGTGAAAATAACCCTGGTATTCAGTAGTTCAGTCTCATTTCAAGTCACTAAATTTGAGGCTAGCAACTAGTGACTAGCGGCTATTTTTGTGAGTTGAGATGATTTGGGTATTCAGTAAGAGAGAGTCACAAAAAGTTCACTAAAAATTTGTGGTGAAAACAAACACAGACAGTCAATTTCAACTGATGGCATTTATGTACGCCTTTGCTCGCGCCCCTTCAAGTATCGCCATGGCCGAGTGGTCAAAGCATTAGACTGCCGCTCGAGAGATCCGTGTTCGAGTCCCCCTCAAGCGTAAGGGTTTTTTATTTACTATGGGGTAGTTTAAGGAGCTTTTCGGCCGGTTTAAAAAAAGCAAACAATGTTTCTTTTTCCTCCTACGCGTTTCGATGCTTTTCACATCTTCCTCAGGGAGTCTGGTGTTTATTGTAAACAATTTTTTTAATTTTTTTTTTATTTAATTTTTTTTTTTAATTTTTTTCATTCTTTGGTTAGTTTAATTTTTCTTTAGATTTTAATGTTGCAAAAATAAAAAACAAAAATTTGTTCAATGAATTTGTATGATATTAAAGCATTTTGGTTTATTTCGTAATGAAATTGTTGGTGAACAAATATTTTTTTCACTTCATGTTCACGTTTTTTTTTTTATAAAATAGAGAGCAATTATATTTTCCTCCATATTTTTCTTTTTTTGACCAGCTCAGAGCCAGCTGGAAAATTAGTAACTTTTATTTTTGAGACTAGAGACGTGAGACACCTGCTCGAATACCAAATAGTCTCAAAAACCATGTTCACCACGAAAAGTCACTATTAGCGACTAGAGACTGCTTACTGAACCCCAGGGAGAGTGATATTGCTGTGAATAAATATGTAACAATTAGTATTTGTGCTTAAAGATTTTCTTGATTTTCATCATTTTCTTTACTTATTTACACATAAAAAACAAGAAAGAAAAAAAAACATCAAAAATATAATTGATAAGATGCTAAACTAGCTCGCTATGAAATTACTAAGTATACTGGACGCTTAATGCTTATTCGATCAGCCGCTTAAACTTTCTTCCACTGAACACACGCAAGCATGGCTGAAGTTCTTCTGCCATAAAACGAATTGTAAAGCGGAAACGGAGACGAAAAAAGGTAGAAGCAACAACCGGCTCTGAATTTAAGTGTACTTCCGATAATTGTATATAGCAGCAAATGCGATTTAATAACGCATTAGAAAGCGAAACAGCTAGACGCCAAAACTACATTAAGTAAATATCTGGTATAGATAAATCAGTTCCGAATGAAATTTTCTTTAGTGGCATTCCAGTCGTTCATGATGCTCTCCATGACGCACTAAGGTGTTTGCGCTGTACCGTTCGCGTCGCCGATGAACAAACTCATTCAACCCCCAACCTATTGCAACTTGTTTAGAAAGTGAAAATTTGAAAAACCCAAATGACATGAGCAAAATAAAGCGAATGAAAATATATAGTCAGAACAAAGCACAACAACGATAAACTGATGGCAAGTAAAATGTACGGACAAGGAAAATGGTGGAAAGTCAAATTGTGTAATTGCAAAGTGCCAGCAATGACAACGTACATATGTATGTATGAATGTATGCATGTACATATGTGCAGAATGACAGCGACACAAGATTATCCAGTCAACTAACAGCTAAATACACACACGACGAGTCGCTCGTCCAAAAACGTAAGGAACAAGTGTTGCAAGCGAAGGAGCGAGTTGTGGGTGGGTGCTGAGAGTCAACCTAGGTGGGAACGGCGTTGGAACAGGAAACAAATGAACTTTAGGAAGTTTTTGTTTTTGTTCGCCCCGTGTACTGGCACTATGTATATTTTCATTTTCATTCAGGGCAAATCGCGTTTAGTTAAATACAAATGTAAGCGCATACCTACAAATGTACTTAGTTATGTATGTATGTATATATGTAGCATATATTCAAGTGTACATTCCTCCGTATACATATGTACGTATGTATGTATGTACAAACATACATATGTATATATGTATGGACATGGATTCATTGGGTTAAGTAAAAAGGCAGCAGGCAGGCAGACTGTCAGGCCAGAATATACAGACAAGCGCGTATAGCGCACGGAGAAAAAATATACGCGCAGCACGCAAAATTAAAAAAAAAAAAAACTAAAGGAAAGAGCAAATAATAGAACAATCTTCAAAGTGAAAACAGAAGGAATTTTAATAGTTTAGTCAAATAAACAAGTGGAGCAACTACTTGGCCCATGGCAGTCGAGTCAATCAGTCAGTCAGTTGGACAAATTTAACCTTTTTTTAAGTGTTTAACCTCACGGTTTTTGCGATAGCTTCTGAAATTTATGGAAAATCGGAGCAGCGCATAAAAATAGATGAAATACGCGCATAGAAAAGAAATCGACTATATGCACGAATGTGTGTAAGTCATCGGCATATTTGGAAAATTATTATAAAACGAAAAGTGGAAGCACAAAAAAGTACATAAAAAATACAGACAAAATTTTGAAATATTCTAAAAATCGGGTAGGAACATTAGTTAATACTTGTACGAACAGCAGAACATCAAATCGACACACACACGAACATATCTACTGACAATCGTATGGAAAGATAAAGAATATTTCAAGTGGATACACTTAAATGGCCAGAATGTGAATGAAAGTGTTTTGTAAAAGTATTCGAGGAGATAACAGCTTTAAATTTCAATAGGAGAAAATTAGTCTTAAATCATTAGAAAAGTGAAAGTAATAAATGAGTGCATATGTGAAAACGTATGTACCTAAGCGCTTGGCTGAAGATGGAGTAGGTGAAGGTACGCGTAACGGCGCAACGCTGGTCTGGCATCTGACTTAAAACAACTAAATATTAGTGAATGGAATATATGGAATGCTGTCAGATGCTGTCTGTGTCATTTGCAAAAAAAAAAAATCATCACGCAATAAGATCCAGTTGAAAAAATAAGACTAATCGAAGTATTTATGAAAAATCGCTATCGTTTTCTCCTCACAACCTATGTCATTCCTACGAATACGCCCGTTTGGTCTGTAATTACAAAATTTGGCTCGTTGCTCTCAAGTAGTGTAGTCAATCCATTAAAATTAGTGTCCATAATTTATTTTTATAAATTTTATGTGAAAGCAAATGCACGCCAAAAATCATAAAACTTAAACAGTGCATCATATTTGACAAGAAAAATTGCAGTAAAAACAAATCCTTCAATTCGACAAATGGTTGAGGTTGAATATTTTGCAAGCAATTTAAGTGCTATCATCTGTCCCAATAGCATTTTGGCATATGCATGTACATACATACATATTTCAGTGCTGTGAGTGATAGAATCACTTGCTCATCAGCGAAACGGACACCTTTACCGCCCTGCGGCTATCTGCCTGCAGCACGGGCAAAATCGAACAAATTCGGCGCTTTTGTCGGCGTCTCTTACTAAATATTCCAGGGGGAATCATCGTGCGCTCATCTTTGAACAAATAAATATGGATGTTTTTTTTTGTATGTACATACATATGTATGTACGTTTTTATATGCAAACAAAAGTGTGATTAATTCATTAGCAATGAGCAACATCTTTTGAGATACATTTCCATTTCATCATCTTTCTCGAGATCTTTGCGCATATTCATTGTCTGCATTTGCTTTGCCTGCATCTTCGAGAGTATGAGCACCTACATACTTCACCTCTTCTTACACCTTGCGGCTTGTGTGCCATTTGGCTTGCCTTAAATTTTCTTTGTGCGTGTTTTCGTTTTAATTTTCGTACGGATTTCCACACATTGTATTGTCCATGTGTACAGAAACAAGTAAAGTAATGGTTAAAATAAGCAAAGTAATCGAGAGAGAGAAATATAAAAATCGAAAACTACCGCGAAATTGTGTGGAAAGGAAAATAAAGCTACGATTTTTGCATTTTAATAACTAAAAGGAGATATCAACGGAACAAAAAAGGAAAGAGAACAAATCAAAACGGAAAATGAAAGTGACGTTCCTTAAAAAATTAGGTCGCGTTGTGTGTTGCACAAAAATATCGCATAGAATTAATAATCTATCACGATAGCTACAAAAGTATAACAAGCAGGAAGAAGAAGAAGAAGAACAAGTTAAACAGGTGCAAAAGTGGTAACACTAAATCCAAACCAAGACAACTGCAGCAACAGGAGTAGAAAAGTATTAAAACCTCCAACAGCAAGCGAGTTTAGAACATTAGGATTAGCTCAATTTTGCATACATTTTTACCCGCCTTCGCTACTACACGCCCAATCCAACTTATTTTCCACTCCATATCAATGCAGCCCGCCGCTAGAAAGCAACAGTAATAGTGCAGAGAACAACACTCACACCAAAGGACAGTTCTCGATTAGGGCTACGAAGAGGCAGGCACCCCGTTGCCAAGTACTGCCAGCTAAACAAAAAGAAAAGCAGAAAAAAATGCTTTCAGGCCGCAATGTTGGTAACAAATGATGCACTAAGGCGATAGGGCTGAGCCAAAACAATTGCTTTGCTTATGTGTGTGCAATTGCTAGCGACGATAAAGGCACACTAGCCCAACCCGCAAACTGCAAGCAGTAAGCCGCCAATACACAGCACAGGGAGGAAAACAGGTGCATGTTTTAAAAGTGACCAACGTTTTTTTTTTTGGGGCGATGAAAAAGCGTTGACCACCACTTATGGCGCAACAAATAACAAGAAAGTGTTGATTCCAGTGCAAAGCAAGTAAATGTATGTACATAAGTATGTATTTATATATGTACATTAGACTGCATCGCCAAAAATAAGTTGCGGCTTTTTCGACAGGATTACTAAACCTAGTATATTTTAAGACTTCTACCAAAATATTTCGGAAAAATATTAAGATTTGCGTAAGCTGGACTGGTTTTAAAATACCTCTAAAAATAGATTTTTTTATGAATAAAAAAATGGCCTCAAGCTCAATAAAATTTGTTGAATATAATTGTTATAAGGCCATAAAATAACAAAAATAAAAATAGTTTCTTAAAGGATTTTTTGGAAAAAATACCCTCAGATGACAAAACAGTTTAAGCTTAAAAAATCTACATAAAAATATTAAAAAATTGTATCAACGGAATCATAATAATGAGGTATTTGATGCCTTTTTTTAACTTTTTTTCAAAGATTTGTGTAAGAAAAACTTGAATAACTGATCCAAAACTTTACCGCTATAGAATTATGAGGTATCAGTGCAAAGGTATTTGCTCACCCTTTTTATTTCTTTCCAAAAAAAAAGCTCATTCAAGTCCCAATTTTTTCTTTATTCAATGCCAACACATCTTGATTCATCATGGAATGACACTCGTTTATCTTACCTTCCTCTCTCATACTTTGAATGAGCTTATTTGCTGAGAAATTAAAAGGGTGAGAAAATACCTTACCAATGATACCTCTTAAAGCCTAAATTGGTAAGGTTTTGGCTGAATTATTCAAGTTTTTCTTAAACCAGGGCAAAAATAGCATCAAAAATCCCATTATTATGATTCCGTAGAATTTTTTTTTTAATATTTTTATGCAATCTTTTTAAGCTTAAACAGTTCAGTCATCTGAGGTAATTTTTTCAAAAAAATATTTAAAAAAAAAATGTTTTTATTAATAAAAAACTCAATTTTTGGAGGTATTTTCAAATTGGTCGAGCTCACGTAAATCTTCATATTTTTGCGACATATTTTGGTGGAAGTCTTAAAATATAATAGATTTTATAATTCCAATGGAAAAACAGTAGGTACCGCTTTTTTTTTTTTGTATGGGAAGTGTTGCAGTCTAATGTACATATGTATACATGACCGCATAAATATGGGAATTTCGTCTTATGCACAAGCGAGTACAGGTGGAAACAAGTAAATTGATATAGTACAGGGCAGATAAAAGAGTGAGCAGTAACACGTTTAAAGCTATGGGTGATAAAAGTTTTGTTGATCATCTATCTACTTCAGCAGCCGCTTTGACCGCTTACATATGTATGTATGTATATGTATACATACGTATGAACATATATGCATACATACATAAATACATAAGTACATACGTTCAAGTTATTGAAGCAAAGGTCTGCCCAATAACCCACGACTCGTTCTAAATTAAAAACTACATAGAGAAAAAATGTGTGTTTAAAATATAATTTATAAACAACAACAACAAGAAAAACTAGTTAAAAAGTAATTCGCCAGAAAACAAAGTCCAGCACAACAACAACAAATACATAAGCAACAAAGTAAAAACTTCAAAACGGCAGGCAAATAACCAACACACATCCCTTCTAATAATCCGCATACACACCACCCACCACTAGCTAACACAGCAAGCAGCCGCCAGCCGCCGCCAGCCGCCAATCGCCAACCGCCAACTAAATTGTCGCCGTCACTGTCACCTCGCCGGCGAGTAGTACAACCACTGGAAATACACAACAAGAAGGGCGGCCATTTACGGTAACTAGGCAAGAAAGTCGACAAAGCTCGACAGCCTATCAACTTTACCAAGCAACCAAACAACCAAACAACCGACCGGCCGACCGAGCCGCCGAGGGCACAACACAATCATTCAGCTCCAAACTCGGTGACGTACTCTTATGAAAATGAATGCCAGTCTCATTTACGAAATCCTCATGTATTTAAATTCATTCTACTTTGGTATGTACGCCACATTTGAGATTGGTGTCGGTGTCCTCAAGGCAATCGGATTGAATTATACTTCGAATGAGCTAACGCACGAGGGGTGCATATTACTCGCATTGTGCATCGTCGAGACAATACGAATTGTATTAGGTCGGAAGAGCAGTCTAAGCGATCGTGGTATGTAAATAAATGTTTTTCACTTGTTTATTACTTGTCCATTCAAAATACATACTTTCAATGCAATACATACATAAATATTTCCTTTATGTTCCATTTTGTATGATGAGTGGGTCTAGGGGGGCGGTGTGACTGCGAACGCATTATTGCGGTTCACATGCCTACACTTTTAGCAAAAACATTGCATCTACCTATTGTACGAACCCTGCAGGAAAAAGTAAATAAAGGATGGGAGTGGTATCCAAGGTCTGAACTATTACTAATTATAATGGAGTAAAAGTATAAAACGACGAAAAACTATACATAACGCAATTCCTTCCGAGCCCCCAGAATGAGCCTCGCTATCAAACTTTTTTTTATATATAATGAATACTTCTTAAGCATGAACAGCTTTATAATGTCGAACTCCGATTTAAAAACAGCTATGTATATTGCGAACTTGGAATATAGATGGTCAGATTCTTGTCCAGCAAAAGCCTATGCATAAAGACGTGTGGACTCAAAGGCCTATACATAGAGGCCCGAGAGATTTATATAAGTATGCTGTAAATTCAAGTACATATGTATTACTAGGCCATAGGTACCAGGTACGACTGACGCTGTAAACCATTTACTCATTTTCACCTTTAATAGTCTCCCCAATTCCTATAACGCTCCATGCGAATTTTCCATTGTTCGAAATAGAGCACGCCGTTTTCTCTTTCACAGCTTCAACACTGTGTTACAGTAATTAGCTAGAATTCTCTTGATAGATACTACGCAATGAGCCGACGCATTGTCTTGGTGGAGAACCGATTACTATTCTTTCCACAACTTGAGTCGTTTTTTTTCTTATTCTTTCACGGTTAAGGTATCTACTCAATCTTAAATGACATCTCACAACATATCTGTGCTCTATTGGTACTCTCACATTTTTTGGGCGAAACAAAAATTTAGGATTCTTAAAGCAATCTATAACACAATGTGTACCGAATGTCCTTTATCCTTGTTCAGTACCAATTTCCTACACGACATACCCGTTTTTACGTATTTACGTTGTACTAAAGTTGTGTATTCATGTTGGCGCCAATAAATTTTAATTGTAATGTTTTTAACTATAGCATTATAATGCTTATAGTAATGTATTAAGTTCATAATATTAAGGCTGACTCACTTGTAGAGCATAACTTAATATATGAATATGTATGCATATGTATATATTTACATAAGTATGTAAGTACTTGTATATGTATGTATGGACCAGCATACTTCTGCAAATCGTAGCGAGTGACGGCAGCAGGGACATTTGTTAAGCGATAAGTATTTGATAGTAACTGTAGCACAGTGGTCCTCAATGGCCTACAATTTACCGTAAGTTTCATTGATAGAAGGTACAATATTTACACAGAAGTATCAACTTCTAAACACTAGTAGATTTGGAATTGTTACTGCACGAACTACCCTCCGAATAAAGAGTTATTTTTAGTTTTTTATTAGATCTACTTCAGGTTCATCTGATCCATCGCTAGAATAATCTTCAGATAGAATCGTCATGCACATTAAAAAAATAAAAATGTTGGCCCTTATCTAACAACAATTTAACAGGTTTTTATTTAAAAAAAGTGGTTCGGTTCGGTTCAACAATTAAAATCCACTAAAGCATTTTTCAAGTTCTGTAATACTTAGTCTAAAAATGCAACCCGTATAGTAAAAATGCAAAATTTTTTTTTGTTTGATGACAACCCCGTGAGTTGTAATTTCGTCCATATAAAGAATGCTATGATTTTTTTTTTATATAGAAGAAAATGCTTAACAATGCTTGTTAAATATAAAATTTATAAAACACGGTTTCTTGCAGTTTGGATTAAAAAGTTTGATGCAATTTTGTTGAAATTTGTAGAATTTTTCTAATTTTCGTACAAAGTTTGAAATTTTGATTTAAATGCTTGTTGTTATATAACGAGCTATACTTTTATAAAAAATTAATTAAGCCCACAAAAAAAATAGTCTAATGCCGCACTAAGTTAAGGCCAAGTTTAAGCTCGAGCCTACCGAAAATGAGGTTTTCAACATTAAGCCAAGATTTTGAGGGTCAATTCGAAATTCAGAGTATGCTGTTTTAATTTACATACTCGACTAGGCTCACCAAACCTTAAAAAGTTTATTAAAATTTTTCTAATTTCACTTTGATCGCGTTGATTTGAAATAATTTTTTTTTTTGTTTTCTTCCATAGAAAATAATTATCCAACATATATACTTTGTATGGAAGAAAATCCGTAAAAAGATGCTAAAAGTCAACTTAAAACTTAAAATTTTTTTCCTAGAAATTCTTATTAAAAAGTTTGCAATTTTGATGAAGTTGTGCAGAATATTCATAGCTTTTGCACAAAGTTTGAAAATTGGATTTATATGTTGAAAAAAATAAGCATTAAATAAAGAAAAGAGAAATAGCCAATACTTGATAAAATGTCGCGTCTCTATTTTTTTTGACCACTCTACATATATACATCTCAATAACAAACCCTTTAATTTTAATATTATGGAAATATACTTTAGCATTAAGAAATGGAACCAATTGAATCGAACCGCGGTTCAGGGATGCTCTTTTACCGGTACAAGCCTTTTCTATTTAAGTGGTTCGAACCACTGAACCGAACCGCACACAGATTTTTGGAATGTTTTGCAGCCCTGCAATTTAACAAGAATTTCTCCACGTTTTTAAATTACAGTTTATAATAATTCTGCTGAATCGGTCCCTACAACCGATTCTCTCTCGTTATATTTTTTTCTTAAAATCAAGGTCGTGGGAAGCATTTTTCTATATACATATTTTCAAACAGTTTTTATTGCTCCGAAACAAAACCAAATAGTTCTGTCGGAAAGCTTTCACAGGAGTGTTTTGTAAATTTATTTACTATATGTTGATTGCGCGCATTCCATTACTTTTCAATAATTTGCATATTTCTTAAAACTAAAATAATGCAAATGCAATTATTACATATGATTTACATATAAATTTCATATGACTGGCGAAAATTGTGTCAATGACAATTTTAAACCCCGACAATGCTAATTTGTCACTTTTTCAATGGAATTTCTCATGGAATTTAGGAGGTGGTGACAATTGTTTTTATAAAACAAAGTACCCACTAAACTGTCGAATAGTCACTGATAACATGGAGAATGCCTGCCGTTACAAAATTATCACTGTCGCTTTATGAAATAGGCCCCTGGTAGGATTTCGTTTCAAGTGTGCTTTTAAAGTATGAATAACAGTTTTCTTTTTGACATTTCTGTGAAACTTGTGGACCGTTGTGGACCATTGTATGTATGTATGTATGTATGTGTGCATGCATGTATGTATGTATAAGGCAACTAAAATGCGAAATGTTTGTTTAAAATAGGCTTGCATATGAGGCACTCCACACTATTTCAATTGGTGAAAAACTACTTTTGACAAAGAGTCAGAGATTTATAAAAGATTTTTAATTTTTTTTTTAAGTAAACTTTTCCATACGTTTGTTAATGAACAATTTAGAAAGTAGCTAAAAAAACATGTTTGCAGCTTTTTAAAAATCTGCAAAAAATATATGTAATAGAGTGAATATCAAAGATTTAACTGACAAATTTTTAAAGGTGTCTCGATATAGGACCTGAGATATCAATTGTTTAGTAAAGCAGTGACTGATAAAAAAATTTTAAAAATAAAAAATTTAAATTCAAATTTCATCAAAATACGTCAAGTGGGCCACTTACAAACCTTTTCTTTCGGATAACCAAGATAGGTCCGTACTTTGGTAGAGGTCCAGGTAATATTTGTTTTCCAATACTTTATTTTGCAATAATCCTCTTACTTTGCGAAAAATTGCGAATTTTAAATTAACATAATTATTTCTTTGATTGGCCATATCCCCTGAACGGGCAGAGATAACTTAATCATTTTAGTTTAAATTAAGCGGAAAACTATTTTTTCTATGTTAAGTGTTCCTCCAAAACACGTTTTTGTCGAAAAATGTAAAAACTCGTGAGATTTGCTCATATATTTATTTACATGAAATAGCAACGATGGAAACCAAGAAAATCTGACCAAAAGTCTAAACCCTTAACACGAGTATAAACTTTTAAATTTTAGATATAATTCATAATTATTTATAATCGATAAATGACGCTAAAGTCTAAATATGAAGTTATGTATTTTAGAGTTCAAGGCAAATGTGGCTCATACGGCTCGTTCATCATACGCCCCGTAGGCTTAAAAAAATACTTATCAGTTGCACACTATAAAATAAATTCTAAATTGTCGATGTGTGTGAAACAAAATGGGCTCCTTAAGCGAAATAATGTAGGTATTTTTTTGTATTAAAAGATTATTTTGAAAGTGGTCTAAAATATTTCACATATTTTGGGCATAAATTATCATTTATCTGTATTTGAATACGGCGGTTATTCTTTCAACTTAATTAACCAACGGTACAAGATTTGGTCATTAGTTCATGGCCATAGAACGTATATAGACATACAGAAGGTATGAAGGGAATTAGACCACTTTCAAAATTATGCGCACATACATACACTGTGACCAATATTTGTACGTAGCTGATCAAATTACAGAGAGACAAATTTTTATTTAAAAAGCCTTTCATTATTCAGTCCTGACTTAAACAATCACATAGTACATATGGAGCCCTAACCGCCAAAATAACGTAAGAGACATTTTTTCGAAATTTTCTTTTTGATGCAGAAATATTCCTAGAGCATCTAGATGCATTTCTGCATCAAAAAGAAAATTTTGAAAAAAATGTCGCTTACGTTATTTTGGCGGTTAGGGCTCGATATGTATGCGGTATATCAGTGCCTTACATCTATTTATTTCGTTTATAAGTTCTAAAATTGCAAAAAATTGTATTTATTTATTCCCAAAGACGTATAGCCCCGAACTCACCTGACTGTAATATCATGGACTTCTACCGAACAGTGATGTAAACTCTCTTAAGGCTCATTCCCCGAAATTTCTGAAAAACTCCCCTCTTTTCAATGGAGTACTTCAAAATGAATATTACTATTTAAGGCACTTCATGCTCATTTTTTATTAAAAATAAACAAAAAAATCATTAATTGTAATATAATAAGGCCGCTCTTTTGAACATTTCATATTCATACTATAAAAAAACTAAACATATTCATAAAAAATAAAGTAGCTTTAAAAAAGGTTTATAAATTGATTAATGTATGAAAGCGTCAATTTATAAAGCTCTTTAAACCTACTTTCTTTTTTATGAATCCGGCCATACAAATTTTAGGGTATTACAATTATACCTAAGGCTATATTTTGAAAAAATAAAAATAAATAAATCTTAAAAATATTGGTCGAAATATTTGTCCGGTTTGGATTAACAAAATTTTTTTTTTTTTTGGAAAATTGATGTCGAATTTTAAAAAGTGAAAAATTTGAAAAACCTAATTTTAGTTTTTACTATGCTTTGGAAGCCCATAACTCGAGAAGTAACCATCATATAAAGAAAAAAAAAAATTCCACACAATTTCATATTTTACATAGCTACAATTACCCAAAATATGGAGAAATTCTAAAGCATCAAGCATGTACGAAAACCAAAACTACAAATGTTTTTCGTAGCATTTTTACGAAATTTTATTTTCAGTGTGTGTAACATAAGTATGTATGCATTTCTGTATGCTCCTGCCCCTGCTGCTCTTAATACACACACACACATATATGTATACTTTGCTAGCACACATGCTACGAGTGTAATTTGCATTAAACACATAAAACTAAACTTTATTTTATAACTTCTTTCGCATATAAATATACTAACTTAATAAAAATTCCCATTTTCTTCTCTTTCCAAAGGTTGGCAAGCAACAGCATCCGTAATATTAACACTGCCCAGCCTTGCTCTCGTCATCTACTTATGTTGTTTTCAAACCTACGTTCTCAAACTCGAAATTATTCTGAGTGCCTTAATGATAGCCCTCCAAGGTGCTGAACTAGTGTATGCCGGTGTCTTCATTTGCACCATGTTCGGTGATGTTTCGTATACCTAGCAGTCGATAATAATTTATGTACAACTGATACACTTCAATTCGAATGAATTTCACGTCTTTATTTTCCCAATGAATCAGCAAAAATGTTGATGCCAAAGGTGCCAATGATCGTAAAAATCACGCAAGCAAATACCCTGGTACGGAAGTCAACAACCCGACGAAAACGCAAGCGAAGAAGACGACGTACTCATATACCAACAAAACCGATGATAATGATAGCGATAAGGAAAGCGGAACTCGAAGCAACCGAAAAATGTGGAGAAAACTCAGTTGGATTCTAGCGAGATGAGACACTGATAAGTACGAGTAATATAGACATACTACTACATACATACATAATACATGCCTACTATTTAAGAGAACAAAAAGCCAGCATTTTAATGTAAAGAAAGGAGGTACAAATGCACCTAGTCGAATGGGGAAAAGGTAAAGAAAAGAGCTAAAGTGTCAAGCGGATCGCAAAAAAAGGGAAGAGAAATAGGGAAACGGAAGGTGAGAAACCGACGAGAGCTCTGTACATACATACATACATATGTACATGTGTATAGTAGCATATCGTGGTGTGTATGTATGTACATATGTATGCAGCACAACAAAGGCAAACCAAAACCATCTCAATGTGCAAAGGTCAAAAATTAGCATACATTGGCAGCTCCAAGTTGACGTATGCAAAATTCAAAAATACAATTAATGTAAGTGCTGCTGACACAAAAGATAGCTGCAACACCAAAAAACTAGAAAATGTGCAATCTATTGTTTCACATACAAATAAACGCTGTCTTCGCAAGCAGAAACATTTGTCGATTTCAACTTTGCAATCAGGTGAGTCGCCCTCTGCGAATTTTTAACTTTCTGCCTTTTGCGAATATTATGTATTTATTTAAACTTTATACCAAACAGACACTTATTGCACTTGACTTGCGCCATTGTTCTATGCACTTTCATCGAAAATTTGCTGTACGGCTCAATTGTTCGAATTTTAAATGTTGTAAAATCGATGCGCCTAATTACCGAACGCGACATATCTCGAAACCAAAAATACACAAACTGAATTCTATGATTTGCATTTGTAGGCTAGATTGGCGCTATCTTATGCAGATTCTAAGGCTTTCTATGCATTGCTAAATTTGCCTCAATCATATTAAAAATAGCCACCACCGCCACAGCTAGCCATCGCCACTGTGAAAAATTAAAAAAAAAAAAACAAAAAAAAAACCATACTCAACAAAATCAAAACAAATGCATACTCGTAGAAAGGTAATGAACGCATCAGTGTGTGTGTGTGTGTGTGTGTGTGTGTGTCTGTTAGTCTAAGGTGTGCAATAATCGTTTTAATTAGGTGCATGGGCAATAGATGCAATCGGCTGCAGCTGTGAATGGCGGAAAATTGTTATAAACTAAAAATTTTATGACTCCATATGCTAAAATGCAGCGTAGATGCATACACGTACATGCATATTAGGGATGTTAATTTTTCGGTTTTAACCGGTCCCGTGGTTTTCGGGATGTCGCTATCACAATCCCGCATTTAGATATTCATTACTTTTCAACAACTCAAATCGAAAAAACTACTTTTATTTTGTTTGAAAACCATAAAATAAATCATAACTAAATGAGTTTAATACCTACTTTTTTTTTAAATGGCGTTTTAATTTTTTCTCACTGATTTCAGGATTTGTTTTAAAGAAGTTTGTAATTTTAAAGTTATGATTTCCAAAAATTATTAAAAAAATTCAATGTAAAAATATGGGTCGAGATCCCAGGAACCCGGGATTAACATTCCTAGTACATATGTAATGTAGTATGTTTATATTTGCTATTTATTTGTATGCATAAAAATGCATGTTTTTAGAAAAAAAAATCATACATAACTATATGTATGGCACAAATGCATCAACAAAAGAATTTAGGCTGAACTTTAGTCAATAATTCTTTTTTTTTTTTGTATTTTCACATCTATGCATGGGTGTGAGTATACATGAGATCTCCACATAGAGGGTATTCAAAGATTTCATACTTAAATTTTTAGCGAAACTGCCTGGTTTAAATTAAATACTTTTTCGTCTTCCATTAAAATAATCTACAACATACCTTTCAGAAACTTTTATTCAAAGTTACGAGTTCTTTGAACAGTGTTACTCTAAAGATATTCCGATTCAAAATACGAGGCTTATGTATATCTCGGCTTGTAGTTATCAATCAGAGAAGCATTCAACCGATAACAGTTTGCAGTCATAAAAGTTGCAAAGATAGGGTGTCCTTGAATTATATAAGAGACCTCTATGTCAGTCTTCCGAGTGTTTTTTTTCACCATAGGAAAACATTGAAATGACAACAAATTTAATGTGTTTTAAAAAATGCCATACGGAAACAGACTTAAGTGAGATCTCTACGCCGAACTTTTTAGGCGTTCTATAAGCTTTATATGACGGCTTTATTGCCGAAAGGCATGACGCACAGTGGGACGTCCCTATATAAGCTGCGGCCAAAAGTTGTAACCGTACTACAAATTCGCTGAACTTTCGTTTGTGTGCTATTCTGCATTTAGGAATGTAGAAATTCAGAGTTTTAACCAGAAAAGCATAAATCTGGATCGGTTTTTATTATCGTCCACCAATTCTAGAAATATTGGCGCAAATAAAAAAATATATATTTTTTGATGAAACTTTTTTTGTAACCTGCTCCTTTACGCCAAAAGTGTCTTTTTTTGGGGCCGAATGACGAATCTGATTAATAAATTTGCGAGTTAACAATTTAAATTAGTCCTGAACTAGTCGTGAACAGGTTTCGAATTGGTTCTAAACTAGATCCGAAATGGTCTTGAAATATCACCCAGAACTAGTCCACAAACCTTCACTTGTACACACCAGACGCGCAATTACACGTTTCTGCTGGGTTACACAAGAAGTAGTCACAAATTTTCTGCTGGGTTAACGCAAATTTCACCCACACCGAGAGCTAAGATGTTTACTGCATCAAAAACCATTGAGGAAAATATTGATCTCAAACTCAAATTTAGTGTATCAGTCAAGTCTTTCAATTCATCCCATCCGGACCGGATTGCAGCAGTGACTATGCTTGACTTTGGGACAAATGCACGTGACTGTAGGGTAAATGAACGTCCTTGATGACGTGCCTTACAAAAACTGTGCCACACAGCCACACACTACTGGTACGTACGTACATATTTGAATACAATATATGATTAAACTAATGCAACGGTATTCATGTAATGTCGTCTGTCTGTCGCTCGAGTGTCGTTCGCGCACTTATTGTGAATTGTTATAAAGCGACATGATTTTCATCGGCCGACCGATCCTTACATACCTATATACATTAGGCCGGGTCGATTTGTGGGGAGGCAAAAAAATCGCCCATTGCTCTGTGAAAATCATATTCTAGGGATCAAAATAAGAAACTTTGCCGAAGGAACCATACCTCTAAAACGAATTCTGATGTCCCCCAATTTGGGTCGAACT